TTCTTCATTAAACTACCCGACAGTATGAAATGTAATTAAGTTGCACTTTGACCAACTACAACTTTAAAATGCTTCACATTTTCATTTGATATTTTCTATTTAATACTTTTAAGTGTTCTGTAATGATTTAAATTCACAACCTTAACTTGAGTAATGGATCCATACTGAAACAAAATTAGTTTATTGAAGGTATATAGGCTTTGTATGTAAACCAATAAGAAACAGAAATAGCAGGATAGAAAACCAAAGATTGAGATAATTTCGGCATAGTTACATCTTAATGTAGTTTTTCCAGGTTTTAACAACACATAAAAAAACGTAATGCCATTAGATGTTGGAATTGGCTTCAATAATCCTGTATCACCGAGATTACACTGAAGCTTTTCTTTACTACTTAACTAAAGGATCTTAACAGTTCGTCCACTGCCACTAATAAAGATTCTTTAGATCAAACCCAGAGAAGCCCGATAGTAAACCTAAGGAGCCAGTATTGTGATTGTGTAAGTATTTTCCAGATGATGCTGATGAGAATGACTCTGAAGTTAACTTTGAAATGTTTTGTCCAGCTGATGGTAGAGTTTACAAAACTGAGTAGGCAGAGTTGTTTATCTCAGTCGAGCAGATGGTGCTGTGACGTCTGTTTAAAAAAAGTGTTTTGTGTAATTTGTAAAAACGATCTGCTGCCAGTACAACTTTGTGAAGAATCTCAGCTGAAATGTACAAAAGTGTGTGATTTGTCATTCCAATCATCCAGTATCTGTCTGTATCCACATTGTTCACAAACTTCATGCAGCAGATTATTTGCACTGATCAAATCATGTTTCAGATTGAAGGGCGACTCTGAGCACTGCGGGTTACACCGACAGCAGCTCCACCTGGATTATCAAATTCCGACTTTTCCTCTCCATGCATTGTGTAACGAGCTGCTGTAATGCATTTTACAGTAGATGATTCAATGTGATTACTCAGCAGCACCACAATACACAGACCGCTGCTGAATGTCAAAAAGGCTGCCTCAGTCGCAGACACCCCCACCCCCTGAAAAACACACTTCCTCCATGGAGAGCACCCTGCATTTTCATAATCTCAAGTGATGACCAGCTGAGGTCAAAGCCTGAAACTGTTTCTGGAGGATTCTTAAAAAACGAGGCTCCGCACTCTTGCATCTGCAGCATCAGTGGCGGTTTTCACAAAGACATCAGCCCACGTTCACATATGAGTCAGCAGGTTTGGCTTGGCTGCCCCGCTCTCAAACACACACACACACACACACACAAACACACACACACACAGTGTGATGCTGCTGTGTGATGGCAGACTGACACACGCAGCTCATCCAGGAGCTCTGTGGAAGAACTCTGTCACCACCATCCAGCTTTTCCTCATCACTCAGCTGTGTGAGTCACTGTGCCGAATCTATGGTGGAATCATTTTCGCAGCCATACAATCATCTCTTTTCTCTCATCACTCAGCACTCCCCCAGATCACATCAGGGATTAGTCTGGAGATGAACTGGGTGAGCCAGAAGTCACCTCTGTCAAGGAGGTTATGTTTTCACCTCGGTTTGTTGGCTTGTAAAAAGGATTATGCAAAAACAACTTAACTGATTTCCGCCTCAGGGGAAGGATGCAGCGTGTTCCTGGGAAGAACCCATTTAATTTAGGTGTGGATGTAGATTAACAAGTGGATGCAAGAACAGTTTTTTTAATTTGTACATTTCTGACACAGTAGAGTGCAGTCCCCTTATGAAACCACGTTTAAATTCACTAGATAAGGATTTTTTATTGGGGTCTGCACCAAATTGTACACAATCACAGATATCAGTCCCATTTACATGTCTGTTTTTTTTCTTTCATAAAGGGAAACGAAATATCTTCTGAGAAATCTATGAAAATGTTGAAAAATGCTCTATCTCACAATGTGAAGGAAAGTGAAAAGTAAATTCCTGGATCCACCTCAAAAACTGGATATGCACCAATATTTAATGTGTTCTTTTCCTCCTGACTCACACACGCCACACATCTTTCTTTGCTGCTAATTAGTCCAATAGATTTTGCGTAAACTTTCTTACGAACAAATAATCCACAAATCATGTCAGTCTATGAAATAATAGAACTTTGAGCCAGTAGTGATGTATTCAGTCTGAGCAAAAATACCAACTCTAAAAACTCTAAAAATGAAAAAACACAAAACCTCCTGAATTAAAATCTTCGAACCAGCAAATGCTCAATGTGTTGGCTCAGAAACAACAGAGAGGATTAATCATCTACCAAAGCAGTTGCTGATGAATTTATTTTCTTTATAATGGACTAATCATTTCAGCTCTGGAGTGAAGTGTGATGGTGGTGGATGTGTCACCATGGCTTTTGTGTGTGTATGTATGTGCAGATATAGCATGTGTGGGCGGCAGCGTTACCATATGCACGTCTGTAACAGACATCGCACCTCTTTCTCTTCTGTGAATTGTGAATTGAGCCCGCAGCAGCGTTGTCGAGCCTAATGCACGGAGAGAGGCTCGGTCACAGGCTCGGATTCTGTCATGTTGTCATTCACAGGAAATGACGCTGCTGCTTGTCAATGTGGTGAGCAAAGAAACAGAAATGGTGCGCGAAACCATCCTCCCTGTTAGTTTGCAGGTTTCCTGTGTGTGTGTGTGTGTGTGTGTGTGTGTGTGTGTGTGT